GAACACTGAATTGTTATTTCTAGTTTAGGGATGGAGAGTTGTCTATGAAAACCACAAACTTAAAATCTCTCTGCTACATCCATCCCTGAAACGCAATATACCTTGCAGTAGACAAAGCACTCACCATCATCGCCTGCTGCACCAGAGTATTACTGTGCTCACACATGTTTTTCAAGATCTTATTTGCAGCATTGTGACGTGCAGTAGTTGTGGATTTAGAAGCCACAGTCAAAGGATAAATCAAAGCCTACAGGAACATCAACCAATACCATTTTAGAACCACGAAGGAGAGCAATATGAATTGAAAGACTAGCAAAACATTGATAAGAGGTAGCTTTAGGGCTGGACAAGAGAAATGAAGCCTGCTTCTTGAAAGAGCTGATAGGAGTTTGCTATTAGAACTCCTACAACCTGAAAAGCTCATTTGATTTTAATTTGCCAAGTAACTGAATGATTTTAAAAGCTAGTGTTAAATGAGAAGAACAGAAAATTCTCTAGCCTACTATGATTTTCTCCACTGCGTTCCGATATAATCTCTCTGGAACAATTGCTGCCTTTTAATAGCCAGCTAAGGAGGTTAGATTTAAAACATGTAATTTTCACTATCCAATTTCCTAGTAGAAAACTTCATGGTTCATCTACCTCTCCTGTCCACCTTCCCTGTGAACAGGGCTGACAAAGGAAGGAGAAGCAAAGATAGACCCCATCTCTCCCCTCTGTAGACATGTATGGTAGGTGAAACAGAACATAAAGAAATGCCTTAAGTTTCTAGGAGTTTATGGAACATGCTCCTCTAAGCCAAAGGTTACCTGGGGATGGTACCGTCCAATATCTGTAAGGAGCTGGTGAATGAGACGTCCTACTAACGGTCGAGGGGTGTCAATTCTTGCAATGAGCTGAGGGATAACCTAGTAGAAAGATAAGAAAAATAAATACCCCAGTCATCTCACATTTGCTGCTCAGCTGTTCTGCGCTCTACCAGAGAGTTCAGTCTTTAAAAGACAGCGAGACCCATCCTGCATTTTTGAACTAGTCAGAGGAAAACACAGCAAAATTCCACACAATGTCAAAAACATAGACCAGGCAGGTGACAGGACAAACAAAATGTGCAAAACTACTCCAGGATCTTTTTGAATGAAGGATTTTGAATGAAGTCTCACATTGACATAAAGTAATGAAGCTACCTTTACAAGACTCATTTGACAAAGTAATCATGAAAGAGACTCAGTCTGAATTATATCAGAGCAGCCTAGCGATACTTCATATTTTGTCACCACTAAATACATTTCATCTCTAATTTTAAAACCTTTTCTCTCTCACTCATATGCAATAATTGCATACAAATACAGTATTGCACACAAGAACACTACTCCTATGTCTGTTCAAGATGCTTGCAAAATAAGTTACAAGTTGCACTGCTAATATACACTGCTCTTGCTCACTTACAGATAATTATTTTGGCAGAGGATCATTGGATACTACGAATTCCCAAGCTCTCTGTGGAACTGGGAGCTATCCTAGCCCTGCATGCTCTTTACCTGCAGCCAAGTGTCTATTTGGATTGCCTTGACTCCTTCAACTAAAGCCTCATTGACATCAGGCCAGTGACCATAGTCAAACCACAGAGTAAGGACCCTGCAAAAAAGAAATACATTAATTAGGAGGGAAAGAAAATATTCTAGTCAAATATCTTCAGATCCATTTGCAACAGACTCTTCTTCCAGGAACTAGGAAACACAGGAAAAGTGCATAGAAATACCTTGGACTGCATATTTAGCATTCACTTAGTTTAGCCTTAAA